AAAATATGATAAAATTGATTTTCAGGGGTGGACTAAATTTTTTGTAAAAGTTCATTTTCTTGTGGAAAATGTGTTCAAATTCATGAATGTTGCTCTTTTTGTAAAAATATGAAAATATGATAAAATTTATTTTCAGGGGGGGGTGCACTAAATTTTTTTGTAAAAGTTCATTTTCTTGTGGAAAATGTGTTAAATTCATGAATGTTGCTCTTTTTGTAAAAATATGAAAATATGACAAAATTTATTTTCAGGGGGGTGGACTAAATTTCTTTGTAAAAGTTCATTTTCTTGCGGAAAATGTGTTTAAATTCATGAATGTTGCTCTTTTTGTAAAAATATGAAAATATGATAAAATTTATTTTCAGGGGTGGACTCAATTTTTGTAAAAGTTCATTTTCTTGTGGAAAATGTGTTCAAATTCATGAATGTTGCTCTTTTGTAAAAATATGAAAATATGATAAAATTTATTTTCAGGGGTGGACTCAATTTTTTGTAAAAGTTCATTTTCTTGTGAAAATGTGTTCAAATTCATGAATGTTGCTCTTTTGTAAAATATAAAATATGACAAAATTTATTTTCAGGGGGTGGACTAAATTTTTTTAAAAGTTCATTTTCTTGTGGAAAATGTGTTCAAATTCATGAATGTTGCTCTTTTTGTAAAATATGAAAATATGAAAAATTTATTTTCAGGATTAAATTTTTTTAAAAGTTCATTTTCTTGTGGATAAATGTGAACAAACCATGAAGTTCTCTTTTGTAAAAATATGAAGTTATGATAAAATTTATTTTCAGGAAATTGGACTCAATTTTTTGTAAAAGTTCATTTTCTTTATGAAAATGTGTTCAAACATGAAATGTTTATTTATAAAAATATGAAAATATGAAAATTTATTTTCAGTGGGTCAATTTTTTGTAAAAGTTCATTTCTTGGGAAAAAACGTTCAAATCATGAATCTTGCTCTTGCAAATTTGAAAATATGATAAAATTGTCATTTTCTGGGGAGCAAGAAATTTTTGTAAATTCAAATCTTGTGGAAAATGGGGGCAAAATCATGAATATTGCTCTTTTTGAACAAATCTGAAAATATGATAAAATTGATGATTCAGGGGAACATTTTTTGTCCAAGTTTTGATAACACTGATGGAAAATTGTTAAAGCTTCGGATCTTGAAAACTTGTTACAAAACATAAGAGAAAACACGACGTAAAATACTTCTTACAATGGGTCACGATCAATTTGAAGCACGAAAGTAAACCGCAAACGAAGCAAAATGAAATTCAAATCAGGAATGCCGCAAATCGTGTAAAAATATAAAGAGCAAAATTTATTTTAATATATTTGACTAAATGGAATTTAAATTGCATTTTCTTTTGCAAAATGGTTTCAATTTCATAGAATGTTTCACTTTGTAAACCAAATGAAAACTATGCTCCAATTTATTTTCAGGGGTGGCATCTACAATTTTTGTAAATAGCATGCTTTAACTTGTAGAAAATCATCTGCGCATGCATCGAATGCGCTCCACTCGAGTAGTTGTTCATAGTCATGACAACGACCAACTATACGTATTTGCACTACATTTGTGTCAATTAACTCACTTAGTCGCAAATTATCAAAGAAATCATGCATGCGCAGTAACGATAACAATCATCCCACAACTTTCGTACGCCTTTTTTTATATATATATAAAGCTAAAACTTCATATAGTAGATGTCAACTAGCAGTGGAAGCTGGGTGCGATATAGTATGCAGTGGCTTAGCCCACACTTCGGTGGCGACTCTGAAAATATGAGCAAAGCCTATCGCAGGTTATCTCAGGGTCTGATGGGCGGAAGCTTTCTATTGGCATCTCTCTAGTAGGATAGCGTGGAGGGGCCGAAATCTCCCACCGAAACGTTAACATGCGGCGTTCTGGTGCCTTCAGCTTAAGGAGGTATCGGGAAGCATGGACCGAAAACGGGGTTTTTTTGCTTTCGAATGTTGTCTTTTTGTTTTCCTCTCATACGTCGTTCTTGCTGAACATCTTCAGGTGAAGTAGGATCACCAATAATCTATTAAGTATAAACACATAATTTATCTATAGAATTATAGCAAAGTTACGATAGACAGATAAGAGTTATTAAAGCTATAAAACTTAAATTCAATATATCCTATAAAGTACCACAAATCCCGAGCATTTCTCGTATCGAAAGGATTCTAAACTAAAGATGAAAATTAAGATGAGAAATTTTGAAGAATTGAAACTAGAGAGTTTTTCAACACAAAAAAATGTTACACCAAAACCCATGGCAACGCATTTCACCCCATTCAATCACATTAATCCACCCACTAATCCAATTAGACGCACGTGTAAATAATCATTCTCATTCTGATGAAGGCTCGGCAACTAAAGCTCAATAAAAATCACTTAAAATCCGGAGAAACTTTTATCTTTTATATATTAAATGCCTGGATTACAAATTTTCAAACTTAATAATATTTAATAATAAATGAAAAATTTTTTTAACTCTTCAAATGAAAACTAAAATAACGTTGTTTACATTAATATCTTTTGTGCTTAATGAATATTTTATGAAGTTTTTTTTATACAAACTTGGAAATTCAAGTTTTTAAAATTTTATTGTATTGTTATAATAAAACAACAGACACTAAATTAAAGATATATGAAAGAATGTTATATGCATTGCGGTGTTGAAATTAAATAAAGTATGAGCACTGCCTGCACCGGCACCGCAAAGGTCATGGGTTCGCATCCCGTTGAGTCACCTGAATTTTTCAGGTTCATGAGACAATTGCTTAAATTGTCCAGCAAAAGTGCGAAGATCATATCTTTATTTAGTTTATTTAATTAAAGATATATGTTCGATAATTTATTACTTTAAACAATATTACCTTGTTTAGTGCTTCTGTGTCTATTTTGTCTAAAAATTACGTTTTTACCAATGACTTTTACGTTCTCTTTTATTATAATATTTCTTGTATTAGTATGATGTATATTTCATTAAAACTAAAGAAATTGTCTTTTCAAATTTTGGCAAATGAAGAGTAAAATAATGTTATTCACATTAGTATTTTTAGTACTTATATAATTTTTTTCTGATTTATTTTGGTTTTATAAACACAAATTGCATATTCAAGTTTTTTAAATTTCATTGCATTAGGATAATAAACATCACACACTAAATTAAATATAGTTATAGCGAGAGACTTGCCGAGCGGAAATCGAATACGTGTGATAAAAATTAATGCCCAACATAAAGTTCTGATTAAATATAGTTATTCTATAGTTTTGCAATTTTTAGGTTAAATTATTATTTTTAACAAAAATAACCTATTTGTTGTTTATATGTCTATTTTTTCTGAAAGTCAATTCGTTATAACGACTTTTAAATTCTGATTTCTGAAAATATATAATGTATTACTATGATATTTATTCTAAATGATATAAAGAAATTTTTTTAAATCTTTGCATATGAAAACTAAAATAACGTTATTCACATAAGTAATTTTTGTACTTTTATAAGTATTTTATCATTTGTTTTAGTTTTTAAACAAAATTTTCAAAAATCAGGTTTTTTTAAATTTTGTATCATTTCTATAATTAACTCTACAGACTGAATTAAAAATAGTTGTTCTATAGTTTTGAAAATTCATAGTTAAAGTATCATTTTTAAGGACAATAACTTTTTTAGTGTTTATAGGTCTATTTTGTCTAAAAATTAAGTTCTTTCTAACAATTTCTAAGTTCGGCTTTCTTGAAATACATATTGTAATTTATTACATATAGTCCAAATGAGATAAAGAAATTATTTTTTTTAATATTATTAAAAAACCCTAAAGTAACTTTCTTTACGTTAAAATCTTTTTTTGTTTTCATATGAGTATTTCCTGATTTATTTTAGTTTTTTGATCACAATATGCAAATTAATTTTTTTTAAATTTTGATTGTATTACTATAATAAACAACGCACACTTAATCAGAAAAAGTTGTTCTATAGTTTTGCAAATTTAGGGTTAAGTTATTATTTTTAACGATATTATCTTATTGCGCTTAACGATATTATATTATCTATAAAAATGCTTGACGCGTTTTTTCAAAGGACATTTCTCTGTTTCGAAGCATACTCAAGAATTCCAGTACATAACATTTAATGCTTGAGTCAGTCTGGGTACTTGCTGACCTATAACTGCCCTTCTCAATATTAAATTTTTCCCTTTTGTTTTAAAGGTATACTTCTTGAAAAAATCAATGTAAATCAAAGAAGGCGTTCTCGGGGTAGTTCGTCTATAGCCACAATGATGACGGATCTTCGCAAATCACCTTTTCATCTTAACCGTTTGGAGGACGGTACTTTGGTGTGCGAAAACGATGAAGAGAAAACCCGCGAGGGTCTGGAAACTGAGAATATACAACTGAGGGGAAGATGTTTTGGGAATACTGTTTGAGTACAGATTAAAACGAGGATTTTTCGAAGAATGTTCAAAGAAACAATGTCAACGGTTATTGTCTTAAATACAAAGAACGACTCTCCATTTGCAAAGTGGGTGGCCTAGGTTTGAGGGTTAGGGGAGATTTGTCAAACCATCGCAGAGTTGCTAATGAACGAGTCGATCGTAAGATGCACCATGGTCTGACGGGAAGGTATGGGGAAAATATGTTAAACTTTGGTCCCTTTAATGGTATTCACGTCCAATTACAGTCTTTCTCTTTCTCAAAACTTGAAAATTGAATGTGTGCTTTTTGTGACGGCACATAATGCATTAAACCATTTATAGGCGTACGTCAAACAACGTGTAAAATATGCTTTTGTTAAACAACTGTCAAAATCTCAACTCACGCAACACGCAAAAGTGATCATTATCACTTATAGTTGATTATTATCCCCAACTTAGAGGGATTATCTTCTTCAATTTAGAGAGATTATTATCCTCAAGTTAGAGTGATTATTATCCTCAATTAAAACTATTGAAATTGTAGCAAAGAATCCGTTAACACATATGAAATAAGACGATTTGATATTCAATTAATGACATTCCCAAATTAAAATCATTATCCTTACACTTTTCACAGGAGGAAATACGTGATTTGACTGCGAAACTTGCAGCATGCGAAGAAAAACAACAACGAGAGCAGAGACGACAACAAGGAAGTCCACAAGAGAACAGCTACATTTCCACGAGTAGCGAGACTCGTCACTCTAGATTCAACAGCGAGACGGAGAGCGCTCGTGGTCGAGAGTCGGGATCTCCCGATAAAATTGGTCGAAAGGAGTCGAAGGTTGCCGACAGCTTCACAAGCAATGGTAGCGTGTTCGCACGCGAGGAAAGAGGTGGAAGTTTAATAGAAGATATTAAAAACGCTGATCGTTTAATTGCTCTACCAAACGGTAGTAGCGTTTCCGATGAAGAAATTTTAACGGTCATGTCAAACGTTTCTATTGAATCCTCGTGATGTTGAAAAAAGATTGTTGGAGTACGATCACCATAAAGGATCTTGTTGAACAACTGTCAATAACTTACAGGGAAGAACAGGAGATCTTGCATTATAAATTTCAGGAGGAATAGCTGATAACCAAATACCCATAGAGACATCCTCCCCCTTTACACAAGAAAGAAAAAAAACATGTGTCAATATCTAGTACTCTGAGAACTACATCCTTACACATCAATAGGTCACTTTCAACATTGTAATCTCGTCGTGGTTTTTCTATCACATACCTGATAACGTTTCAGAGATTTCTCGTTTTTTGCCAGCCAGTGAACAATATCCGAAGAAATAATGCTGCCCGCACTTCAGGCAAATGTCGGATAAGTCACGCCCGGATATTCAGGCTCGGCTCATTTTCCTGCCTCTCGATCAACCAATCAGTACGAAAGCTGTAAATATGAAGAAGCAATTGCATTTAGAAGCAATAACTACAACTCATATTTTCATACCTTATTCATAGTTTAGTCGCATGGAAAACGCTAATTCGTATGTTCGCAATCTCGTTTCTGTTTTACTTGAAAAAAATTATCAAATTTGGCAAATACTAATGCCCAAAACATGATATCTCAAAAGGATTCGCACTACGTCAATAAAATCTTTAGAATGGACTCAGTATAAAGTAAATTGTTTGAGCCCGGGAGTATCGTTACATGTTTCTAGATGTAGATAGTCTAGGTTAGTAAAGTCCTGAGAAGGATTTTGATGTTGATGTTGACTGACCTTTTGACAATCTTAGCAGTAGTATTTTTGACTATAAAACGATACCGCTAAGGTTGTCGAAACGTCAATCAACATCAACACCAACAGTCCTTCTATGGACTCTACTAACCTGGATGATCTACATCTACAAACATGTACTCAGTATATTGTGTATTGACGGAGTTGAGCTAAACTAACCTTCCCACCACAATTTGGACGTGTTTTTAAATTATGACTTTCCATTTCCTAAAATTATCAAACATTTCTTCAGTCGAGAAGTTCTTCGGTACAATGTTAAAGATAAAAAGCTTAACTAAAGACACCTTACCAATTGTTGATTGAGTAAAATCTTTAGATTGAGTTGAAAATCATCTGTACAGCTTGTATACTTCCGGAGGTAATTAATATTAAAATCGACTCTTTACTGAGCATGCGCAATTGTAGACACTCGGGACGAGGCTCATTCCAAAGCTCTCAATGAGAGGTCTGGAATGGTGTAAAAATCATCTCCACAGCGTGGTTTAAGTGTAGCGTAAGGGTGTTTTAAGGGTGATTTGAGTGTACCTTTAGCGTGGTTTAAAGGTGGTCCAAGGCTTCAAGCTACGCTTCGCTACCCTAGACTACGGTTAAACCACCCTTAAACTACCCTTAACCCTCCTCTAAAACCACCTCTAATCCACTTTTAAAACCACCCTTAAACCACCAGATTGATATACTCTAAAATCCCAAGATACCTCTACGTACTCCCAACTCCCAAGATACCAACACGCATTTTTCTATTATTTATTGAAGAGCTTTCACAAACCTGTAAGATGGTGATATCTTCGGCAAGTGTACCGTAACCGTTATTTCTTGTGAATATTCGAGTTTAGCCTCAATACAATGAAGTTAGTCAACACAGTTAAATTTATCATATGACAAAGAATGTAGTTTGCATGAGTTGTTCTTGTGTAGAACAAAACTGATAAACGAAACAAAAAACCTTGTTGTTGGTATACTCTATAGGCCATCATAGAAACGCACAACGCTACACTACTTAAAGAATGGCGGTCAGCTAAAAATGTCCAATTCGATTCTACGTAGATCTGACAATTGCTTAAACGTTGCTCATTATGGTAATCAGCTTATTCTACCTAACATATCTCTGGTATTGAAGAAATACTTTGTAAACGTTCACTGGTATCGAAGAAACAATTTGTAAACGTTCACTGGTATTGAAGAAATACTTTGTAAACGTTCTCTGGTATAGAAGAAATACGTTGTAAATGTTCTCTAGTATTGAAGAAATACGATGTAAACGTTCTCTGGTATAGAAGAAATACGTTGTAAATGTTCTCTGGTATTGAAGAAATACGATGTAAACGTTCTCTGGTATTGAAGAAATACGTTGTAAACGTTCTCTGGCATTGGAGAAATACGTTTTAAACGTTCTCTGGTATTGAAGAAATACGTTATAAACGTACTCTGGTATTGAAGAAATACGTTGTAAACGTTCTCTGGTATTGAAGAAATACGTTGTAAACGTTCTCTGGTATTGAAGAAATACGTTGTAAACGTTCTCTGGTATTGAAGAAATACGTTGTAAACGTTCTCTGGTATTGAAGAAATACGTTGTAAACGTTCTCTGGTATTGAAGAAATACGTTGTAAACGTTTTCTGGTATTGAAGAAATACGTTGTAAACGCGACAGGCCAATTTGAAACACTGTTCTACACTTTATCTTCACAAATATTGTGTTTGCTGTAACGTTTCACACGCTAAGTAGCTCTAATTGAACACAAAATACACTACAGCTACCCTCAATAAGAAAATTCATTGTTTTCCCTGTGCTTACCTTTTATTGAGCGATGAATGTCGTCTTGCATAGCCAACCCATGATTCACGTAAACTTTGCCACAAATCAAAGTTGCCGCGCGATGAAAGTATTCCAATGACCAAATCATAATGAGAATAATTCTCTGCTGTCAAGAAGAACATTAGTTTAAAACATTAAAGAAAACAAGTGGAAATACAAATACAAAATTGGACTATGGAGGATAAAGTTTTTAGATAACATGGTTAAATAACACTAGCGAAAGTTTCAATAATAGATCACTCCTGACAAAGGCATAAGACTGGAGCATATAGTGACACTCACGTTTCAACATTAGATCACTCCTGATGAAGAAACTACGCTAGAGTATATGTAAACTTATCTTTCAACAACATATCGTTCATGCTCAAGATATTAGATAGACGTACGACAATCTCTAATTTCATATAAATCTCGATAAAAAATCTGCTCCCCAGAGTTGACATGCTATCAGATAGGCAACAAACAAAGATGAGATAGCTGTACAAACCTGTATTATCGCAGCAAAGCTTCAAATCTTTAACAAGATGATTATAGATGTATAACACGAAAATAGCGATCAATATTAGTAAAGTTGGCTTAAGGATGTCTTTTAATGTAAACATAAGTTGAAATTAAACAGTTACAATTAACTATAACGTAGAAATATACTTCCCTAATTAAAATAATCTTCACGTTATCCTCAATAACGAACTATACACATTGCTGCATTTTAATACATACGAACTTTGACCTCGGGTGTGTTGTAGAAACGTCATGTAACCAGTCTCAAAGTACCAATATAAATTAGCAAACTTTGTGATCTATCTTACCAAATGGACTTAAATTGAGCAATAAAAAATCTTAATCTTCAACAAAGCATATCCAAAAGATTTCTATGAATGTATAAAAAGTATAAAATCGTTAAAAAGATCACGCTTGCACGCTTTTTTCTTCACCAACTGAGCAAAGATTCTCTTTTTCCTTGAACTGCTTGTCGACAACCATTGAAAGATTATTCAAAAACTCTTCTAAGGTTATCGTTTGTGCCTATTACGTAGGTTTGAGGGACAATATAAGTACATGCATGTACAACAAAGAACACGAGTGAAGGCTTTAATTCGTATTACTTACTTTCGAATACAGCGCATGTGCAAGGAATGGTAGTTTACGAAGAGTTCGACCACTTAGTTGATAACTTTTTCTAAACAAGAAAATGAGAGAAAGAATACTTCGTAGGTTTATCACTCTGAGACGCTTGACTGCTCATTGCAAGTTCGAAAGGAGAAGGGCCTCCCAAAGAAACCTAACCAAAAGTTAACCAATATTCGTGATTATTTGAGAGTCGTGCATTACTTGATAACTAATGACTACGATAACAAAGAAAAAACATCTTTACGCCTTAATTGTAGATGTAATACAAAGTTAAATTTTATTTATGTTGCAAGTACTAAGACGGTATATTTTAAACTTCAGTCCCAAAATATTTGAGAACTCATATGAACATGCACAAACAACTCAACAAACTGTTCGAGCTTACAATCATGGCAATGACCAACTGAACAAGCTTGCATCTTTTAGTAGTTCACTTGGTCACATATTGGGAAATCATAAATTTCAATCATAATAAGAACATTAGTCATTTAACAAATTTTTCAATTTCATAGTGATGGCAACAACAAGCTGGATCTATTTTCATCGCTTTCTGAGTAATTAAATCGCTTCGTCACAAAAATATAAGAAGATCATCTGAGCATGTGCAGTACGCCTATAGAAGCGTGAAGAAGTGGCCTATAGAATATACCAACAACAAGGTCTTTAGTTTCGTTTATCAGTTTTGTTCTACACAAGAACAACTCATGAAAACTACATTCTTTGTCATATGATAAATTTAACTGTGTTGAAAAACGTCATTGTATTGAGGCTAAACTCGAATATTCACAAGAAATAACGGTTCACAGTACACTTGCCCAAAATATCACTTTCTTTGCTTTGGTTTTCTTGGCCCCAGTTCCCAACAACCGTTTCTGTCGTAAAATCACTTGAAATGTGAAGTTACTTTCATCGCTTTCTGAGTAATTAAATCGCTTGGTCACATAAATGTAAGAAAGATCATCTGAGCATGCGCAGTACGCGTGGACATGCGCAGTATGTGCAAAGCTCACTTGACCAATTGTGCTAGTAAATGGTCATGGAAATGACCACAGCACTTATTGGTTAACTGTTGGTTAGGTTTCTTTGGGAGGCCCTTCTCCTTTCGAACTTGCAATGAGCAGTCAAGCGTCTCAGAGTGATAAACCTACGAAGTATTCTTTCTCTCATTTTCTTGTTTAGAAAAAGTTATCAACTAAGTGGTCGAACTCTTCGTAAACTACCATTCCTTGCACATGCGCTGTATTCGAAAGTAAGTAATACGAATTAAAGCCTTCACTCGTGTTCTTTGTTGTACATGCATGTACTTATATTGTCCCTCAAACCTACGTAATAGGCACAAACGATAACCTTAGAAGAGTTTTTGAATAATCTTTCAATGGTTGTCGACAAGCAGTTCAAGGAAAAAGAGAATCTTTGCTCAGTTGGTGAAGAAAAAAGCGTGCAAGCGTGATCTTTTTAACGATTTTATACTTTTTATACATTCATAGAAATCTTTTGGATATGCTTTGTTGAAGATTAAGATTTTTTATTGCTCAATTTAAGTCCATTTGGTAAGATAGATCACAAAGTTTGCTAATTTATATTGGTACTTTGAGACTGGTTACATGACGTTTCTACAACACACCCGAGGTCAAAGTTCGTATGTATTAAAATGCAGCAATGTGTATAGTTCGTTATTGAGGATAACGTGAAGATTATTTTAATTAGGGAAGGATATTTCTACGTTATAGTTAATTGTAACTGTTTAATTTCAACTTATGTTTACATTAAAAGACATCCTTAAGCCAACTTTACTAATATTGATCGCTATTTTCGTGTTATACATCTATAATCATCTTGTTAAAGATTTGAAGCTTTGCTGCGATAATACAGGTTTGTACAGCTATCTCATCTTTGTTTGTTGCCTATCTGATAGCATGTCAACTCCGGGGAGCAGATTTTTTATCGAGATTTATATGAAATTAGAGATTGTCGTACGTCTATCTAATATCTTGAGCATGAACGATATGTTGTTGAAAGATAAGTTTACATATACTCTAGCGTAGTTTCTTCATCAGGAGTGATCTAATGTTGAAACGTGAGTGTCACTATATGCTCCAGTCTTATGCCTTTGTCAGGAGTGATCTATTATTGAAACTTTCGCTAGTGTTATTTAACCATGTTATCTAAAAACTTTATCCTCCATAGTCCAATTTTGTATTTGTATTTCCACTTGTTTTCTTTAATGTTTTAAACTAATGTTCCTTCTTGACAGCAGAGAATTATTCTCATTATGATTTGGTCATTGGAATACTTTCATCGCGCGGCAACTTTGATTTGAGGCAAAGTTTACGTGAATCATGGGTTGGCTATGCAAGACGACATTCATCGCTCAATAAAAGGTAAGAACAGGGAAAACAATGAATTTTCTTATTGAGGGTAGCTGTAGTGTATTTTGTGTTCAATTAGAGCTACTTAGCGTGTGAAACGTTACAGCAAACACAATATTTGTGAAGATAAAGTGTAGAACAGTGTTTCAAATTGGCCTGTCGCGTTTACAACGTATTTCTTCAATACCAGAAAACGTTTACAACGTATTTCTTCATTACCAGAGAACGTTTACAACGTATTTCTTCAATACCAGAGAACGTTTACAACGTATTTCTTCAATACCAGAGAACGTTTACAACGTATTTCTTCAATACCAGAGAACGTTTACAACGTATTTCTTCAATACCAGAGAACGTTTACAACGTATTTCTTCAATACCAGAGTACGTTTATAACGTATTTCTTCAATACCAGAGAACGTTTAAAACGTATTTCTCCAATGCCAGAGAACGTTTACAACGTATTTCTTCAATACCAGAGAACGTTTACATCGTATTTCTTCAATACCAGAGAACATTTACAACGTATTTCTTCTATACCAGAGAACGTTTACATCGTATTTCTTCAATACCAGAGAACATTTACAACGTATTTCTTCTATACCAGAGAACGTTTACAAAGTATTTCTTCAATACCAGTGAACGTTTACAAATTGTTTCTTCGATACCAGTGAACGTTTACAAAGTATTTCTTCAATACCAGAGATATGTTAGGTAGAATAAGCTGATTACCATAATGAGCAACGTTTAAGCAATTGTCAGATCTACGTAGAATCGAATTGGACATTTTTAGCTGACCGCCATTCTTTAAGTAGTGTAGCGTTGTGCGTTTCTATGATGGCCTATAGAGTATACCAACAACAAGGTTTTTGTTTCGTTTATCTACACAAGAACAACTCATGCAAACTACATTCTTTGTCATATGATAAATTTAACTGTGTTGACTAACTTCATTGTATTGAGGCTAAACTCGAATATTCACAAGAAATAACGGTTACGGTACACTTGCCGAAGATATCACCATCTTACAGGTTTGTGAAAGCTCTTCAATAAATAATAGAAAAATGCGTGTTGGTATCTTGGGAGTTGGGAGTACGTAGAGGTATTTTGGGATTTTAGAGTATATCAATCTGGTGGTTTAAGGGTGGTTTTAAAAGTGGATTAGAGGTGGTTTTAGAGGAAGGTTAAGGGTAGTTTAAGGGTGGTTTAACCGTAGTCTAGGGTAGCGAAGCGTAGCTTGAAGCCTTGGACCACCTTTAAACCACGCTAAAGGTACACTCAAATCACCCTTAAAACACCCTTACGCTACACTTAAACCACGCTGTGGAGATGATTTTTACACCATTCCAGACCTCTCATTGAGAGCTTTGGAATGAGCCTCGTCCCGAGTGTCTACAATTGCGCATGCTCAGTAAAGAGTCGATTTTAATATTAATTACCTCCGGAAGTATACAAGCTGTACAGATGATTTTCAACTCAATCTAAAGATTTTACTCAATCAACAATTGGTAAGGTGTCTTTAGTTAAGCTTTTTATCTTTAACATTGTACCGAAGAACTTCTCGACTGAAGAAATGTTTGATAATTTTAGGAAATGGAAAGTCATAATTTAAAAAACACGTCCAAATTGTGGTGGGGAAGGTTAGTTTAGCTCAACTCCGTCAATACACAATATACTGAGTACATGTTTGTAGATGTAGATCATCCAGGTTAGTAGAGTCCATAGAAGGACTGTTGGTGTTGATGTTGATTGACGTTTCGACAACCTTAGCGGTATCGTTTTATAGTCAAAATACAAAAGGTCAGTCAACATCAACATCAAAATCCTTCTCAGGACTTTACTAACCTAGACTATCTACATCTAGAAACATGTAACGATACTCCCGGGCTCAAACAATTTACTTTATACTGAGTCCATTCTAAAGATTTTATTGACGTAGTGCGAATCCTTTTGAGATATCATGTTTTGGGCATTAGTATTTGCCAAATTTGATAATTTTTTTCAAGTAAAACAGAAACGAGATTGCGAACATACGAATTAGCGTTTTCCATGCGACTAAACTATGAATAAGGTATGAAAATATGAGTTGTAGTTATTGCTTCTAAATGCAATTGCTTCTTCATATTTACAGCTTTCGTACTGATTGGTTGATCGAGAGGCAGGGAAAATGAGCCGAGCCTGAATATCCGGGCGTGACTTATCCGACATTTGCCTGAAGTGCGGGCAGCATTATTTCTTCGGATATTGTTCACTGGCTGGCAAAAAACGAGAAATCTCTGAAACGTTATCAGGTATGTGATAGAAAAACCACGACGAGATTACAATGTTGAAAGTGACCTATTGATGTGTAAGGATGTAGTTCTCAGAGTACTAGATATTGACACATGTTTTTTTTCTTTCTTGTGTAAAGGGGGAGGATGTCTCTATGGGTATTTGGTTATCAGCTATTCCTCCTGAAATTTATAATGCAAGATCTCCTGTTCTTCCCTGTAAGTTATTGACAGTTGTTCAACAAGATCCTTTATGGTGATCGTACTCCAACAATCTTTTTTCAACATCACGAGGATTCAATAGAAACGTTTGACATGACAGTTAAAATTTCTTCATGGGAAACGCTACTACCGTTTGGTAGAGCAATTAAACGATCAGCGTTTTTAATATCTTCTATTAAACTTCCACCTCTTTCCTCGCGTGCGAACACGCTACCATTGCTTGTGAAGCTGTCGGCAACCTTCGACTCCTTTCGACCAATTTTATCGGGAGATCCCGACTCTCGACCACGAGCGCTCTCCGTCTCGCTGTTGAATCTAGAGTGACGAGTCTCGCTACTCGTGGAAATGTAGCTGTTCTCTTGTGGACTTCCTTGTTGTCGTCTCTGCTCTCGTTGTTGTTTTTCTTCGCATGCTGCAAGTTTCGCAGTCAAATCACGTATTTCCTCCTGTGAAAAGTGTAAGGATAATGATTTTAATTTGGGAATGTCATTAATTGAATATCAAATCGTCTTATTTCATATGTGTTAACGGATTCTTTGCTACAATTTCAATAGTTTTAATTGAGGATAATAATCACTCTAACTTGAGGATAATAATCTCTCTAAATTGAAGAAGATAATCCCTCTAAGTTGGGGATAATAATCAACTATAAGTGATAATGATCACTTTTGCGTGTTGCGTGAGTTGAGATTTTGACAGTTGTTTAACAAAAGCATATTTTACACGTTGTTTGACGTACGCCTATAAATGGTTTAATGCATTATGTGCCGTCACAAAAAGCACACATTCAATTTTCAAGTTTTGAGAAAGAGAAAGACTGTAATTGGACGTGAATACCATTAAAGGGACCAAAGTTTAACATATTTTCCCCATACCTTCCCGTCAGACCATGGTGCATCTTACGATCGACGTTCACATCGAAGGACGTCTTTATTTTATATAAAATTTTCACATTAGGCATAATTAGAAGTTTTATGAATTATATAAGAATTTGAGAAAATTTGATGAAGTGCTTCAAAGAACTTAAGATTCTATTTAGGCATTGGGCATTGGCTATCTATGCGTATGTATACTATATATAGTATATAATATAGTATAAGGATATCAGTTCACATCGAAGGACGTCTTTATTTTACATAAAATTTTCACATTAGGTATAATTAGATGTTTTATGAATTATATAAGAATTTGAGAAAATTTGATGAAATGCTTGAAAGAAATTTGAATTTAGTGTTCAGGCATTGGACATCAGTTCTATATGAATAAGTGTATATATTGAAATTAGATCTATAGATGGTAATGGAATTCGACTTTGGAATTCGACTTGTTACAATGTTCTTTGCCAAGCTGTGAACAACCAAACAGAAATTGAGCTTTCTTTATGTCAAATATCACTTAAGCTTTGATGACGACTGACGAGGTCACAACTAGTCTATAACAAGGTCGTAGCTGCTTGTAGCTGAGGGATTCATTTTCTCAGCAACGTGTGTCAACTCATCACAAGCATCATTTAGTGTTCCAGTGCTACTTGTGGCAGGTCTGTTAGCTGTTGAAAGACTTTCAGTCGACAAACGGACGCGTTTTGGTTGTGATGCCTGCTCGGTCCCATCATCTTCATTTCTACTTATAAGTTGACCGAAGGAGTTAAAACTCATAGCCATTCCAAACTGTGAAGAGACAGAAGATTTCATACATTTTAAAAGATTATTCCGGCAACTGGAAAAGGCAACATCACTTAGACTCCATTAAAAATAAAGAATAAAACACTCACTTACCTGCTTGCGATGAGTATTAATGATACGTTGGTTTAATTTCTCATTACTAAAATGAGTTGCCAATCGCTCCATGAAGACGGAATTGTGAGCTGTCAAAGATGTTGTGAAGTAATTATCACGGTTTCGTCTGTTGTTGAGTTGTTCAGCAGTTTCTGAATTGATCTTCCCGGCAAGTTGGTTAACGCAAGACACTCTTCGCAAGCAATCGGCTGGGTTCGTGGAATTTTTCTCGTGAAATTGATCAAACAGGCAGTAATGATCAGAAGATCTAGTTGAGGGATTACACAGAAGCTGCTCACCATCCGACCTTTGTACGACAGTTGACAAGTCGCATCTTTCTCCGTTTGGAAACCAAGGCCAGTCTATCTCTAGCTCACCACTATTAGCTCGTCTGATATTTTCCAGGCTATATTCAGCAACACGACCTTGGAATGGATGAAAACGTCGTATCCTCTGTTCCTTGCATGAGCTACAATCATGTTTGCCATATCCAATATGGTAACATTCGGAACAGCAGAGATTCATAAGCATGTCCACATGATCTCGTGGTCCTTCTTGTCGCAATAGCCATTTCAGACCATAGCATACTCCATGTGGACACGTCATTCCCAACCAACCGCCTGTGCCAAAAATAAAAATTATTTATCCATTTGAAATTATAATAATGAATTTGCTAAGTTTGCTGTCTTCTCACACAATTTGCACTCAATATATCAACAAATTTAACACATAAAAGTACAAAACTATGATGTTTTTGTTATATCTAACTCACATACGTCATCAGACAGGAATTGAACCTGAACCTTTTGCCCGAAAAGGAAACCATTTGATGAATTTTTGTAAGCTAACACACCAATATCCACAAAAGATTAATGTATAAAACGTATGTAGGTAGGAATAAAGGTAAGAAGCACAATACATAATGCTTTACGAAAATCGTCGTCTTTGTGAAACAATTTCAAGTTAACCTTACCTGAACGACCCCACATCTTTGAGAAGAGTTTAAGAAACGTTTCTTCGATATTCAAAACAGATTTTATACGGTTAATTATACCAAGTTTCGACCCCTTGTCGCTCACATTTAAACTTCTGGCCATTTCTCTTATAACAGGTACCTAAAAGTACACAGAGAATGACTTTTATGTAAACCAACTCATCCCAAAAGTTTCTACACAGCCTAATAATTAATAGCAATACGCACTTTTCCTTCACAGAACAAATCCATGAGCTTTTCAATTGAACATTCATCAGATGTAGCCCCAGCTGATGTTAGGTTTTGTTTATGATACGCTTTCATGTATTCGGTATTAAAAAGTTTCCTTCCTCTTCTGCATTTTGGGCCAATATATGGGGCCCAAAACTTATATGAAGGCTTGATTTCTAAAGGGTTTTTCAGTACCTACAAACAATTGAAAACTACAAGCATTATCATAATTCAAACACACCAGATGGTGTATACGCTACGTGCACATCAAACAAATCAATCATAAGGATTTGTAAACAAAATAAACCGGATTTGTAAACAAAATAAACCAAAAATAAATTATGTAAGAAAAAACGTTAAAGTTTCACGTGCAGTGAGTACATAAACATTGTAGCACGTACGTACCTCTCAATACTCCTCTGTATAAGATCCCACAGTTCACTTGTTGCCAGTACTTTTCAGCGTCCACTTCATCTGCAGGAGCATCGGATTCGGGGTCTGGCAACTGAAGTTCACTAACTACAATGCAAATGAATACAAGTTAACAAAATCAAAATTCAAGTCAACAAACCTAAAAAATGACAATGTAAAAGTATGTAACAAAAACCACTCATAAAAAAAGTTTGCCAAATTATCAGTCAAATTTACCCGCTAGTTCAAAGATTCCTTTCTTGTCTACATCTAGAGTTAACAGGGAGGAAAGTGTCCACACAAAACACAAGAAAACCCATAGTCATGATCTGAGAGAGCTTCAAAGTGAAGATACGCGTTCATCATTTGACCACGTGGTAACTGAAATGGTCGCAACTGCAGCCAGTTTTCAATTGCCTCAACAGTGCGACTGACAGCGTTGTGAACCTATATTTTTCATACAATACATGCTCATTTATAGCATGCATACCTGGTTATTAATATCCCTTCCTTGTTTTTCTTAACTATCAACATGCAAAAATTGGGGAGTACAATATGGATGATGCACAGTTTGGTTAAGGCCATCACCCAGTTAAAAAATTTACATCAAGAGAAAAGAGAGGAAGGAATAGTGACAAGTGGTTCTTAAATGCTTTAAAAATAACATACCTGAAGATGTTTTCTGATCATATCACATATTCCCAAACTTAAAAGCCAGTTGTCATTAAAATTGTGAACACCAGCTGAATACTCCTGGTATCTGTACGGTATCTTGCACTCGACACAAAACTTTGCAAACAGCGAAATTCCTGGAAGAACAAAGAAAAGATACACACACATATATGTATACATTGTATAATACGCTTTCTGCTCATGCATAGTTTGAGCATTTTCCACAGACTACGTAGAGAGTCCATATGACACGTTCAACGCTTTCGCCCTATGCAAAGCTCACCGTTATAGGTTTGAGCACTCTGGTAACTATACAAAACAATCCATAAAATGTGTAACTGTACATTTTGGGTTTATCTTCAACTCAATGTCTTATCTAAAGTTCGAGATTTAAATCGATGATATATACACGCTGTTTCATATTAATGACAAACCTTCAATAATCCCTTTCATAGTTACCAACTTTGCATTTCTTGTTACACAGTGTGGCTCAGTTAGTGGTGATTTACAATAAAACAGATGGTTTCTACAGGAAGGTAACTAGGAGACAAGACAATGTCAATACAAACAATAAATCTTTTTGCTGTTTTAGTTAATGGAAAGAATGTCATTTTCAATAAGGAACTAAACCGTTGGAGAATATTTTCGTTGGAGTGAAGACAATGCAATAATAAAAGGTTGCTTTGTTCGATTTAAATAAACAGTTACCTTTTAGCAAATTGTTCCTTTTCCACAGTTAATGTCAAAGGAAGGTGTGAAGGGATTTTCTTTTCAGCAAACAGGTATTCAACAAACTTTGCAGCCACATCTCCAGAAGGAGGATAAAAAAAGCTGCCAGATAGGGAAATTTGATTTTGATTTTCAAGTAGAACGTCTTCAACAGCATTATCTTCTGGTTCTGGTAAACTTAAATCTTCACCAATTTCATCATCAATTGGTGGGGTGGTGCCAACAACAGAGGGATGCCACTGTCCAAACTGTCCAATTGCCCACTTAACAATGCATTTATGCATGCAGGAACGACGAGATGGGCAGCATTTGCAATGAAATGATGAAGTTTCATTGTCATATGATACAATTACTCGTTTGCAAAATGACCAGTAATGATCCCGTTTAACATTTGCAAACACAGAAAAATGAAAGAAACGATTGGAGGAATCAGGTGTGACAGGCATCTGAACAGCAAGTGGGGTATTCTTGTCATTAGCTTGTTTCTGCCACTGCAGACATTCAGACCTCCGTTCAAATTTCAACCATTTCAAAGTGTTCACTATATAATCAAGAGAATCTTCTCTTAAATGATCAACAACAGTTGACGTCCCAATAAAATATGTAGACTGCACAAGATCACAAAGAAAATTTGCTTGACCACTTCTTGAAGCAGTTTCGCTAAGTTGACGACATGTATCAACACTACATGCAATAGAAGGAGAGTTTGTGGTTTTAAATTGACAATGAATGGGATGATCTGTTCCACTAAGTTGTTTCCTCACAAGATAAACCCCATTTGTCGAGTCAACACATATTCCATTCAAGTACCTCATTGAAGATATTTTCTTTCTTTTATCAGCAGCATGTTTGGTTTTTATGTGGCTTGAAAGGGAATTTGGATGAAATTCTCGTTTACAGTCCAGGAAAGGACATTTAACTCTGGGTGGTTGTTGTCGCATTGAACGAGACTGAGCAGGCATGTAAGAAAACTCCTGATATTGGTGAACCTCAGACATTTCTATGTTTGTGCTGCTTTGTTGGTGTGTTTCCTCAGATAGTTGCATATGTAGAAATTGCTCTTGTTGTTGCTGTGTTTGCAGCTGTGTGAGATGCTGAGTGGTCACTTGGTGCTCCAGCTGATGCTGCTGAACTTGAGGGAACTGAGTTTGATACATTTGCTGCTCAAATGGTAGGTTTTGAGGTACTTGCTGTTGGGCTACTTTATGTGGAGAAAGTTGACTTTGAGAACATTGTTATTGTTTCCCCGAACCAAACTCTACAACAGAAAGCTGTAAATCATGTGCACTTCTTATATGTCGAATTGCTTCATTGCGACGCTTGAATCCAGAATTACATCCAAAACAGTGATAGTGCGAAACATCTTTGATGGAAGTGGTTTTGAAGTGTGAAACTTTGCAAGAAGCTCTGGTAAAATTGCAAAAATGTAGATTTCTTTTGCTTTTTCAATATTGACAGCAAGGGATTCGTCATCTCTCCGAATTCGTTCAATATAAATGTCATTTGGAGTCCAGACAACAAAATCTACAAACTTTAACTTTGTAGAGGCTAATTGCAGTTGGACTTGATAGTAATATTGGTGTTTCCTGTCCATCTGTAAGGTACCATTTGGTGTCTTAGTGAGACAAAAATTCTTTCCATCACTTATGCCATGCTGGATAGTCTTGTTTCTTAAACTGTATGGGCACTTAATCTCAACACATCCTTCACCATGGCAGTTGCAGTAACTGATTGCATCTGGACTTGCACCAAGAAAAGGGTACTTTGGATCAATTACAAATCCAGATTCTTTAACTGAGAAGATGCTATGATTTTCTTTCATTACCTAAATAAAATTAAGATATATATTTATGTATCTAATTATTTATTTTGATATATTGCACAGCAAAGCCCATGTAATTAAGAAAATTAAATTTTTGTGCCAAATGAGTACATGTTTGCTATTAGGTTTATGAGTGCATAAAAAAATTTTTATGTGCAATCAATTTGCAGCAATAAACACTTAATTAACTGGATGAACAATTCATGAAATAACAATATGTCAATGCTGACTTGTGTATATTGATTTAGGGCTCTCTTCTCATTGGCCTTTCCCCACGATGCTGCATCAGACTTAAACTGTGAACCATAACAAACATCTTTGACCGGGCTTAGTGATGGTGTTTCAGGATTTGTGCAACAAGCCCTGTGGAAGTTGCTGGCAGTTATTCTCCCCATTCGCATTTGATGCCAAATCTGAGACTTGCTTTGATTTTGTGTAGCTTTTTCTATCATATCAGCTTGTTGTTGATTGATTGTAATTGTCTCCATAACTTCTTTTGATTTCGAAATTAGCTCCTCATACTCAAGACAAGCAAATTGGTGGGAGTACAACTTATTCAAGGGGTCTGGAAGGTTAACAGCAGGTCTCTTTGGCACAAATTTTTCGTTAAATGGAGAAATCAGTGACAAGATTGCAGGATTACTTTTAGTGTCGCTTAGATGTTGATAAAACTTCTTTATTTGATTTTCAGACGGCTTGTACTTGTTTTGCAAACGAGGCTTGTCTGTTGTCATTGTCTGATCGGTAGTAGATGATGAACTAGAAGCTAATTCATTGATATGTTCATCCAGCTTTTGCTTTTTACGTTTGGAAGAAGTAAAATCAACGTCACAAAGTTCTTGATAAGTAATCTTTGATACTGTCTTAGGCATTAGCCACTGACAGGGAATAGACGTACAAGTCCTGTTCTTTACTATTCGTACACCAGTTTCAACAGCAAAGAGCAACGCTCCAGCATGTGAACAACATTCTCCCAGTCCAGCTTTACAGTTGCAATGTGCTGTTATAACAGACCCATTGTTATATACAGCAGCCCATGGTTTTAGAGGAGTGTCATTCAGGCTTTGCGAATGATTTACCTATGAATTAAACACCAAATTTTTTTCATACTGATTGTTACAATGATTGTAAAAACACGTTTTAAGTAATAATTATACTAACCTTTGCGATTAAAATCTTGATGTTAGTACTTGCTTTACCGACATACACACACCTCACCCATCCAGCAACAAAATACTGGTATGATTCTAAGCTTTTGTAAGCTTTCAGTTGCTCCTTGGTATACCTACTTGTTGAAAACAACAGGTAGGTCACAATGTCGGGGAACTCAACATTGGGCCATAAATCCATCGCGTCAGAAAAAAATTTGTGACTAACATTGTAGGGATCGATACCACAAATTAACTTTAACTTCTCTTCGTATTTAACACGATCTTCAACACTTAAAGTTTCACGATATTTAGGAAGGCATGGCACTCGTTCGTATTGACTTGAAGCCATGTGCGTTTTGCATGCCCCCTATCATGGCGCCATAGTTACGGTTGCTAATCAACAAGTTGTAAGTCACGTGTTCATGCAAAGCCTCTATACATACGTATAGATAGCCAATGCCTAAATAGAATCTTAAGTTCTTTGAAGCATTTCATCAAATTTTCTCAAATTCTTACATAATTCATAAATTTTCTAATTATGCCTAATGTGAAAATTTTATGTAAAATAAAGACGTCCTTCGATGTGAACTGATATCTTTATACTATACGTTATACTATATATATATAGTGTATACATAAACAATTTTTTGCGCATTGCTGTAACCTTTTAAAATGAGCACTACAGGAATCGAACCCATATACTAGAAACAGCTAGCAAACCATTATGCTCGTTTAAAGGACAACAACAAACTTTTTCTGTTTTTCCATCAAATTTTATCACGTTATTGATTGTTCTTAGTCTCCTTGATTGATCACAAACGCAAACTACTGCAAAATACAAATAGCTGATATTAATGTTCGAGGCATATAAGAATATTATCCCAATTTTAACGCAACCTGGGCACATTCACTTCTTCATTCAGGCCATGCAGTAAAACTTATTTTAAATGACAACTTTTCCCAGAACTGTTTCACCCCCCGAATGATAGGTCCCAAAGAAATTATGGATTTATCCACACTTGTTTTGAAAGGGATACGTTGCTCTAGTTTGGGTGAGATGTCAGTGAGCACTTGTTGCTGTAGAATCTCAAGTTTTCTGTTGAATTCTGTTACCTTTTCATGGTGATTGGGAGAATACTGGAAGAGTGCTCCATCAAACACTCAACGATATTAGTAGAACATCTAAAACATTCAGATGCATTAGACGATAAACGTTCGACACAAAGAATAGCACAATTCGTTGCACGTTTGGCTCTGGTTCGTCCAGACCATTTGTTGTTTGTTACAACTCGTTGTAAAATAAGCAAATCAAACATATCATAATTAAATGGATTCAATAGACTCTTGAATGCTTTGCCGAACTACTTAAGAGGCAATATTATTATCCAATAATATAATTAGAAAATAGTTTATGACGTTAATGATAGAAGAACATGGAAATCTACATGTATGTCTTATGTCTAATAGGAAATCTCTATAGAACTGTCCATTGAAAATCTTGTTGTTTTTAATGTTTTTCATATTACGTTTAAAGGACTGCTGTAATTGGAGAAAGTTCCTAGCCAATTGGTAGTCATCTATGTTACTTTCTGGTGAATATGTTGGGAGATTGGTGTCATACTTTATGGACATAGTAACGTTTTTTTACAAAACATTGAAATTTCTGGTGCAATCTTATTATCATGTTTGGATCAATTGTTTCCTTTGGACAATTAATGAGTCGTGACATTCTACAATTTTTAAAAACTGCTGAAAAAGTGCTAATTCAACTTACTTTTCAGTTTTCTGCGTCTTTTTGCGATGCTCATTTTCTAACGGCTTATTACGATTCCTGGACTAATCGCAATAAAACGTGTATGTACGCGTTAATGAACAAAAAATACAAAATTCAGTCAACTAAATGCAGTAAATTCTTTCTGAACCGTATTGAACATACTTGTAACTTATTTACGGCACTCTAAGGAAACAGTGTGTTTTGTGGTTGAGAAACGCTGATGCATATTGCTCAGGAAAAAAGCTAAGGCAACAACAGCCAATGGTTTTGAGGCGAAAACGTAAGAGCACACAGGATTTTACCGTTAAAAGAATCATTAAATTAGTTAGTGCTGCATTCAATGTAGTAATCAGAAATTTTTATCTACCACAAATGTCACTAAATCAACGTCAGTTTTGCAAGCAAATCTTCACAATTGGCTTGGACAAATAACTGGAAACAGTGGCGGATCCAGTGTACCTCAAAATAAATTATAGCTGTTAAGATATGAACATCACGCGAAAAACATAAACATCATACCTTTGCATGCATAATTAAGTAGGTATGACACATATAAGACCAAGTGACATTGTGAACTTGTTAATTCTAATATCGTTGTTAGCTTGTACGTAAGTTGTTATTTTGTTCCACAATAAAATCATAATATTTCACATATTATCCGAACGTTATTGCCGGACCTCGAATAATTTAACAGGTTATGGGCCCAGGAGCGTTTGAGTTTCTGTTTATGACGGCAAATACGGAAAGTTTATGAGATATCGCGATTTCATGAGAATATAACTTACAGAAGTGCGAAATATTGAATATGGCGACTTCGGGAAATGACGAAGCATTTACACGGATCGAAAAGTTCAATGGCCAAAACTTTCACCTTTGGAAGTTTAAGATGCAGATGATACTTGAAGAGAAGGATCTCTGGCAAATAGTTTTTGGCGATGAGGTAGAACCTAATGGTGAAGGAACTACTGATACTCAACGTCGACAATATCAAAGGCGTGAAAGGAAGGCATTTGCAACAATATGTTTGTCTCTCGGCGATGAACAGCTATCTCTCGTTCGATCAGCGCGTACTGCAAAAGATGCTTGGGCGAAATTAGAAAGTCATTATGAAGTCAAATCTTGGCCAATAAGTTATTCTTGCGAAAGAAATATTTCACTACAAGTATGGGTCCTGATGATTCCATGACCGAACATCTCAACAAGATGAAGGATATTGCAAGTCAATTAGAAGCATTGGGTGCGTCTGTTTCTGAGGAAGATCAAGTGGCGACACTCCTTTGTAGTTTACCTGATTCGTACAGTGGCTTAATAACAGCATTGGAATCTAGAGCGGATGACTTATCATTAGAATTCGTTACTGCTAGACTTCTTCATGAAGAACAGAAACGTAAAGAATCCAACGAAAGTAAGGATATTGGTGAGAAAGCACTACTATGTCAAAAGTCCAAAAACGACAAAGTTAAGAATACCAAATTCAAAAGAAAAGGTAAATGCCATAACTGCGGGTTACCTGGACATTGGGCTCGAGAATGTCGCAAACCCAAACAGAATCAGCAAAGTGACAATAGAAATAAAAGGGAAGAAGCATCCTACGGAGCCACAGTTCAGAATTCATCATTGTTTACAGATAGCAAAGAATCTGCATGGTACATTGATTCAGGTGCATCATCTCATATGTCATATAATAAGGACATCATGGTTAATTTCATCCCATTCAAATTCCCTGAAAAGGTAAAGCTAGGAGATGACAGAATAGTTCAAGCACTGGGAAAAGGAAATGTACACATTGAGATTAAGTCTAAGAAGAAGTATGAACCAAGAAGATTGGTTGACGTTCTATATGTTCCAGATTTAGGAAAAAATCTCTTCTCAGTTAGTGCTACGGCAAAACGAGGATACTCAGTTGAATTTAATCTACACACTTGCTTGATACTTGATAAAAATGGAACTATATCTGGATCAGGAAGAATGATGAATAACCTGTATGTTCTTGATGTTAAAGAAGAACAGGATGATTCGAAGCATGCGAATGTTTCTACAAGTGATACTAGCGAAGAAATATGGCATCAACGGTATGGCCATCTAAGCCTGAAGAATTTACGTCTACTTCGAGATCAAAAGTTGGTTAAAGGTCTTAATTTTCAATCAGATGATCACTTTGAAGTTTGTGAAGGATGTACACAAGGAAAGCAGATACGAGCAACCTTTCCTCGAGAACCTGCAACGCGTGCTAAAGATGTACTCGATCTTGTCCATAGCGATGTTTGTGGACCGATGGAAGAAACAAGTCTTGGTGGAAATAAATATTTCATAACATTTATTGATGATAAATCAAGATACACAACAGTCTACTTTATGAAGAGAAAGGATGAAGCTTTTGAGAAATTTAAAGAGTTTGAAGCAATGGTGACCAATCTCACTAACAAGAAAATTAAAGTACTTCGATCAGACAACGGTGGTGAGTACACTTGTCAAATGTTTGAAAAATATCTAAAGGATAAGGGAATTCAGCGTCAGTTTAGTGTTCCAAGAACGCCACAGCAGAACGGAGTTTCTGAAAGAATGAATAGAACCATTCAAGAAGCTGCACGATCTATGCTGAACAACGCAAAACTACCAAAGAAATTCTGGGCTGAAGCAGTTCATACTGCAGTCATCTTAAGAAATCGAAGTCCTACTGTATCCGTGAACGGAGTTACACCTTACGAATGTTTCCATTCTAAGAAACCTGATGTTTCACATCTGAGAATTTTTGGTTGCACAGCTTACATGCACGTTCCTAAGGAAACAGGGAAGAAATGGGACTCCAAAACCAAGAAATGCACATTTGTTGGGTACAGCCTCACAAGTAAAGGTTATCGACTCTACGACGCTTCAACAGGTAAAATTCACATATCAAGAGACGTGTTATTTGACGAAAGCTCATTTGATCGACGAAAGAAATCTACTATAGTAATACATGGATATGATAAAGATACTGTGACCGAAAAACAGAATGATGAACTATTAGAAGACAATGAAGAACACGAAGTCAAAGAAGAAATGGAAGATAATTCCAACAACAGTATGACAGATGAACAACAACAACCACGACGATCAGCACGAATACACAAATCTCCTGATAGATATGGTGTGGTGATCACAGGTAATTGGTGGCAGAACAATGTCGCTAGCATTGATGATGAATCTATCCGTCAAGATGAACCACTCAACATTAATGAAGCTTTTCATAGTCCAGATAAGGCGAAATGGAAACAAGCAATGGACAATGAATATTCCTCCCACATAAAAAACAATACGTGGACATTGGTTGACTTACCTAAAGATCGTAAAGCCATAGATTCTCGATGGATATTCAAAGTAAGTACAAAGCAGACGGTTCAATTGAACGACATAAAGCTCGGTTAGTTGCTAAAGGATACTTACAAGAATATGGTTTAGATTACGAAGAAACATTTTCTCCAGTAGCAAAATATACATCAATTCGCTCTTTCTTGGCAATTGCTAATCAGTTAGACTTGGACGTACACCAAATGGATGTGTCGACGGCATTTCTGAACGGTGAACTTAAAGAGGAAATATACATGAAGCAACCTGAAGGATATGAGAAAAAGGGACAAGAACAGAAGGTCTGTAAAT